AATTGTTCCAGTTTGATTTTACAATTTGTGAGCACATTATGTAATATGTAAATTTATCCGCTTTGTAGGAATTTAAAATTGTTTGTTGTTCTGTTTCAGTTAAATTACTGAATTTTTCAAGATTAATATTGTGATAAAAAATAGAATCCTTGAAACATTCTGATATCTTTTCAATGTTTAAAACGGATGCTAAAAAATGTAAAAGAACTTCATCAGTCACTGTGATTTTTTTGAAAAATTTATCCCAATTCAAGCATCCAATTGATCTTTCTGTCATTGTACTTATGCATTGATAAAGTTGATTTAATGAATCCGAAGAATAATCATTATGCTTGACTAGTTGAGTTAGTTGATACAGACTGTCGTCAGCCATTTTAAAAAAATGAATAAAATTGTATAGTAAATTATATTTGTGAAATTTGTGACGCTACATTCAATCTAAGACCAATATCTCAAAGAATTCCTCATTTAAGTATTACTTTTCATTGTTTTTTAAAAAATATCTTTGCTTATTTGTTCACTTTTTTGACATTTATTATATGCTTTTTATCATATTTCCGATGATATGAATATATATTCTATATAAGAATGACGCTACATTCAATCTAAGACCAATATCTCAAAGAATTCCTCATTTAAGTATTACTTTTCATTTTTGATTCAATTTTCGAACGGTTTTCGTAAATTTTGCATCATTTCATTTTTTAATGGGAAAATCATCTATATTTAATCAAAAAAGAGCAAACTTTACAGACGAAAATAAAATATTTATCAGGGAACAATCTGATAAATACCAAAAATCAACATCGAGAGATGAAAAAACGAATATAATCAAACAAGTTCTTCAATATTTTAATATTAAATACGCCGAAAATGAATCTAAAGCTGTCAGAAGATATTTTAGTTATATTGCAGTTAAAAATATTCCCGCAGTTACTGGAAAATATCCTGATACAATTGTTCGCAAAGATATGCTTTATTCGCATGATCATACAAATATTATTAATTCAAATAATATTGAACGTTACTACCGTTGCATCGATCATTCTTGTCAAGCACGTTATTTAGTTAAAATTGAGAACAGTTCAGTTTCCGAAGATTTACAAAAGGAACATATACCCGAATGCAGACAATTTAAAAAGTTACAAAATGAAAAAAATGATCTTCATAAATCAATGACTCTGACAGAAATATACAATAAGGCAATGGCAAAATTTTCTGAAGACAACGGCACTTTTCAGCAGATTAAAAAATTTATGACAGAACTTGCTGTTGGTACTGATGAAAACCCATTAATTAAAGATTCATTGGTCAGGGAAGTTTATAATAAGTCCAGAAAATTTTCTGTTGGAGAAAAAATTACAGACGATGAAATTGCTAATTTTTGTTTAATAAATGGCGAGCAGTTTTTCATTGGCCATGATTTTCAAGCAAATTGTGAGACGATGTTTTTTGGTTTTGAGAAGGCAATTCAATTTGCAAAAGAAGCCACAGATTTATTTTGCGATGGAACTTTTAAAATTACACCAAAACATTTTCAAAAAGGACAGATGCTAACAATTATGATTTGTGAACCTTCAACAAATCAATATCTACCACTTTTATTTATATTCATGAAAAACCGCACATTTGAATCTTATAAGAAGGCATTTGAATATATTTTTACTGTCAAGGGTATTCAATTTTCAAAGCTAATTCAAATTCATTGTGATTTTGAAAAGGGAATGATAGAGGCACTTCAACAAATTTTCCCTAAAGTCCGTATAATTGGATGCCTATTTCATTTCAAACAAGCTTTACACAGGAAACTTGTAGCACTTTATACAAAAAATTTCAATACTTTACAAAATTCTTTATTTAAGCTATATTCTATTACTCCATTCATGTCTCATGAAGAATTTGTACTTACAATGCATATAATTAATCAAAATAAAGTTGATTCGATCAAAGATTATATTGATTATTTCAACAAAGTTTGGTTGCCGCACTACAATTTAATATCTCAATATAATAATGCAACTGCAATATTCACTAATGATTGCCTCGAGAGTATGCATTCAGAATTTTCTTCGTTAAAACATCCAAACATTTATGAAGCTATTAAGAAGATATCTCAAATCCAATTAGATAAATATAACGCCATCAAAAATAACCAGAAGATCGAGCGCCATATAAAAACCGTTATCACTGATAGCTACAAAAATTATATTCTTGACTGCTTTCAAAAAGAACTTGAGAAAACAATTTTTTCTATCAAACAATACAACGTAAGTGATCTTTCTTTGGCTCAGAACGAGATTTCTCCATATGGTTCCATAGAATCGAGTTCATTGTTCGAAAATATTCCAGTTCATGATGCAGATATACTCAAATCGATCGATCTAACAGATAAAGATACAATGATCACTAAGTTTATTAATGAAAAAAGAGAAAAAATTATGGCATTATTTAATGAAACATTAAATCATCCAGATTTTAATTCATCCACTCCAATTCAAACTAATTTTGAGCAAGCCGATACAAATCAAGGTTCAGATGCTCCAATTCGCTCCGAAAATTCAAATATTGCAGACTCTACAGATTTAGAACCAGAAAATCAAAACCATCCTTCTACAAATCAAATGTCTAGTAATCTAGAACATAAGCTGGACCTTCTTGATCATATTGAAAAACAATTATCGAAAATGCGCTCGTTATTGGGAATTCTTCCTACTACAAATGCTATTGTTGGGCCGTCAAAACAAGTTTCAGTTAATAGCAAGCAAAATTCTGAAAAAAATAAGAAAAAATCTTCCATAACAACAAAATCAAACAATAAAAAACAAAATTCATCCGACAATCCTCCTAAACGTAAAGCTCCTATTTCGGAAAGGATTCTCAGCGATAATAACTTATATTTTCAAGTTCATCGAAAGAGATCGAAAAGCAAACGTTCCACATCTACAGAGAAAAAGAATTGATATATGAAGTCTAATTCCTTTTATAACTACTATATTTTTATTCTTATGACTAAAAAATAATATATTATTTAACAATTTTCATTTTTTTCTTTTAACAATTTTGTTTTATTTCCATTTATTGTTAAATGATTTTTAGCATACACCTTTCTTTGTTCATCTTCTAAATACAATTTATTTTTTCTTAGATATAATTCTATTCATTCAATTCGATCGTCATTTTTCAGTACATGATCGTAATTTTCAATTATTGATCGCGATTTTACTTCAGAATTTGTTCGCAATATTGCTTATCAAAATTATATCTCTATTCTCTCATTTCTGTTTAGTCAATATCATTACACTCTTATTGTCTAATAACATGCTATTAATTTTCTTAAAATTAAAAAAAAAATATCAACTTTTAAAAACAGAAACTTAACATCCTTAGGTCAATGGATTTTGATGTGAGATACATTTAATCTGTTTTTCTTTTTTTATTTTAATTAATTGAATATTTATAGTTGTTATGGGTCTTACATCATGTAAAACGAATTTTCTTAAAGTAAATTTACTTTTTCTTCAATCTTTCTTACATATTTATTAAAAAAAATATCCAAAAAAAGATGTTTTAGAATGAAAAAAAATTAAAAAATCTTCATTTATAGTCTTTCTTGAATGTATACGTTTTGATTTTTTTCTTTTTTAAAAAATTCAATTTCTAGAAAAATCGAGAAAAAATCATTTTCTTCTATTTTTTAGGACGCCATACCCATTGAAATCTCCTCTCAGGACGCCATAAACTATTCAATTATGGTGTAAACTTCTCAAAAATTGAATAGTTTACATCAGGACGCCTTAGGACGCCAACCCTTTACGCGCCCAATTTCTTCTTCTCGTTTATGAGGTCTTTGATTATGACTCCATTGATTCCATGAAATTAAATATTCTTTATCATTATATTTATACCTCATTAGCTTATTTTGGCTTTCATATTCATTTAATAATTCACAGTCTTCCTTTTTAAATTGAAGTTTAACCCATTTAGGATTTAAACAATGTTTAATTAATCGCGGAATATCTGACATCATCTATATATAGCTTCTTTTATAAAAGATAAAAAATAAATTATTTTAAAATTAATGTTAATTTTTTAATGTGTTTAGTATATAAATATTTTAATGCATCGTCTATATATAGATGCAACAAAAAAAGTCACACAACCCTTCCTATCCTACAACTCTTAACGGCTAAGATTTAGGAACAATGTTAAGTATCAAAAAGAAAGGAGGTCTGATATAGACAACATATATCGTTGAAGGTTGAAAAAATCTCTAATATTTGAGCCCAAAATTTCAAATTTTAATTTTTTGAAAAAAGAGGCCACCCGTATGTACATTTATTTGAGAGGAGGAGGATTATATTTTTGAAAGGGTGAAACATTATGAATATGTTAATTATATAATAATATGTATTATTATAAAAAAGAAAAAATAAAGCACGTTAAAATTTTTCTTTCTTGATTTTTTACAAAATCTACTTAGAATTATGCAAAATATGACTAAATAATTATAAATTTCAAGTTAAATTTTAATTTTGATAAATAATTTAAATTTCAAAATATCAAGTTCAGTTCGACTATGTATGTAGTAATTCCTCAATAAAGTGCCAAAACCCTATTAAAATATATGAACATTTTCAACATTTTAATGTTTTTATTTAAAAATTTGATGGAATATGAGCTTCAAACAATTATTATGTAAATAAAAATAATTAAATATATGTATTTATTCGTATTACAACCGTAGTAAGTCGATTCTTCCTTTCTTCTACTGAGGTTTGAATTTGATTTCGAATTGTAAAGAGATTCAAAGGGAAAATACTAGCGGATAAAAACTACCTCCATGAAAGGGTCATAATGGACTCAAGTTGTATTTTTTGATATTTTTTGCTTTTCGAGCCTAAATAGGTAGCCAAGATAATGCCTAAAAATAAGGTTCTAAATTCTGAAGTTTACATGATCCTCTCGTGTGCACCCTTAAAAAATTATAATATAATAATATTTTATTGAACCAATTCAAGACAGTAAATGGTCTTATCATCAGAAACAGAGATAACTTCACTATCATCAGCTGAAATGCAAACAGAGAAAATTCTAGAACGCTGGAACTTCTTTGTCTCTGTTATTGTATAATTATCAACATCTATAACAGAAACAGAGCCATTTGATGAACCAACAATGAGATGTCTTCCATCATTAGTAAATTCAACCATTTCGATAAGTTTAACCATGGCTCCTGGTCTATCGTGAGGAATTGATACCTCGCCAACCTTTGTTGGTTCTCCTTCAAATTTATAAAATTCAACAAATCTATTAAAAGTTCCTACAGCAACTAACTGATTACTGAGGTTTGCAGCTACGCAGTGAATATGACATTTAATATCATTGCCCTTAAGAGTAAGTACGTTAATTGGGACATTTGAGTCAAGATCGAACTGAGTAATAGAATGGCGACCAACAAGAATGAGTTGGTTATCGTTTGGACCGTAGAATGTAAGATCTACAATTGTATCATCGCCTGCATTATATTGGTTGAGTTGTCCATTTCTTTCAATCAAAACAATGCCTTTATGGCCGGCAATTGCAATTGTTTTTCCATCACGGCTAACAGCTGCGTGTGGGAAGATTGTGCTCTTGCATTGTATTTCGCGCAAAAATGTAAGACCGGTTTCATTTGGTGTAAAAATGAGACATTTTCCTTCCATTGATGTTGTAACAACGAAGCTGTTGTCCTCTGGAACTGCGATAGAAAGAATTGTAAGATTGTGGCCTTGAACGCGTCTTGTTTGATAATATTTTCCGTCCTTGAGGATGAAAACGACCAAAATGCCATCTCGTGTGCCAACGACTATATTTTTGCCAATAAATTTAGCAATAACAGGCGTTTGACCTGAAAGTGGTGGCGAGTCTTTGTGTTTCAGGCTCATTTGTTATCGTCCTTTTTCACCCTTTTTAATTTTTTTATCCCCTCTAATAAATAAGTCTGAGATATTTGTATTCATATAATGAACAACAAAAAACAGAAAAATAAGTTTATGCAAAGACCATCTAGCAAAATATTCTCACTCAGTTTTCAAAATGAGCTAATCGATAAATGTTATACTTGTCGCCTACCATGAAATTGATATGCATTGAATCACCAAATTTTATTGTGGCCCTTTGGAGTTATTATCATCATAGATAAATAAATTCATTTTAATATAATTTTAGATTTTTATTAGAGAGGGACATTACTTATAATCTATCTATCACAGTATAAAATATCTAGCTCTTTTGAGAATATAACAAGTCCTTGTCACTTTAGATCCAACATGAATGGATTTATGCTTTTCTAATCTTGCCATATTGCATAATTATGATGTACGAATAATGCATGTCGCAATGTCTGTCATTTATTTTCTCCAAAAGTTTATTTTCGTTTATCTATTTGCTAAGACTGAAAAACACTCTAACAAAAACTGAGCTATTATATGAGCTGCTAGAAAATTAAAAAATATGGAGTTCTCTCTTAAGTAATTTACTATTTTGCAAAAATAAAATTTCCGAATATTGAAATTAAGTTATAACAAACAGAATAAAATATCAACATCAATTAGTATATCTTAATTATAGAAACATGAACAGCTTTGTTTGGAACATCAGATGAAAAAGAAATATCTCCTTCATCATCATAAGATAGATAGTAACCAAGGAATTTGGAGTACAATATAACATTTTTAAGAGTTGATCCTTCAATAGAAAACGTCTGTTGTCTAAATGGAGCTTCTGCATTTTCAGTAACGCATCCTTTATATGCAGTTAAGTACTTTCCATCTTCAGATAGAAGTGCAAGTTTGTTTTTTCCTTTCTTTACTAAGCGAAACGTCTCGGCATCATTTTCATCTTTCTCTAAATTGATTTTATGATTTATCTGTATGTGAAAATATCCATCATCAACAACTTTTATTCGCACTGGAGTTCCATCTGGAATTGCATACACCAAATCAGCAATTTTGAATGACATAAAAATATAAAAGTGACCTTTTTTTAGGATTTCATTTGCATGATATTGATATCTTACTGTACTACTCATATTTGAATTCAAATATTTGAGTCCGTTTTAACGAGAAGTATTTATGGTTGCAAAATTAGAAGAATTTCTGGAAATTTCCAGAAAACACTAAAAAAATCAATCTTCTAAATGAAAAACAACTCCAAAATTTGCTTTCATGCAGCAAGACAAAGTTATTCATTCACAAAATTCAATCAATTTTGAAAATTCAGAAAATGAAGATAAACAATTTGAATTATTTACAAAAAACATACAATTATATTAAAAATTTGAGTCATATTATATTTCATTCGTAATCATCATCAGAATCTGAAGAGTCAGAAGATGACGAGGATGAAGATGATGATGAAGACGAAGAAGAAGAAGATGAAGAGGATTTAGAAGTATCATTAGATGATTTTGCATCAGAATTGTTAACTGATTCTTTTTCACCTTCTTTTGAATTTGTCCGAACTGGAATAGTGACCAATTTAGCTTTTCTTAGTGGTGATTTCTTTGAAGTATGTGAAACGACCTGTTCAGACGGAATACCTGAATTATCATTACTAAATTGGAAATTCAAGGAAACAATTCTTTGCAACTTTGTAATTACTCTCTTATTCAATAAAGAATAGAACCTATCCATCGGATTTGGCGGCAAAATTTTTGATTTTATTGCTGAACACATATCAAAGAGCAAATTAGAATTTCCGCAGAGCGCGGCAATGTCGAGTGGTGTTACATCATGTAATTCATGCTCATTAAATTGGTATACAGGAACTTTGTAAAAGAAATTAGCTCCATTAGACAAAAAATTAATAACTGCTTTTTCATTATCGTTTTCTATTGCATAAGTCAATGCTGTTCCTGAATTCTTGAGCACTTTATTGATATCTGCTCCTTTGGAAAGTAAATAATTCAGACAATCCTTATTTTCTGAGTGAATAGAGGCCATTAGTGGTGTCACATTATTATGTTCAATATTAGGATCAACGCCGATCTCAATTAAGTACTGAACAATCTCAATAGCGTTACATGAACATGCAATTAAGAAAGGAAGTGAATAATTTTCAGAATCTTCTGGCACATAATCATATTTGCATCCATTAGATATTAAATGTTGGAATAATGGATAACAATTCATTTCACATGCCAAACCAAGAGGATTAAAAACTTGAACGCTATGAATCTTTCTTTGCGTTGTTAAGTTTATATCGAAACCATTTTCTATTAAGAATAATGCTGCTCTTATGTTTGAATTTACAAGGCATTCCGCAATTGTAATATTTTTTCCGTAAATTCCGCGTTTTATTAAATTATCAGCAATCTCGTTGTTATGGTACTTGATTGCATTGTATAAACAATCCTCGTCAACGCCGAATATCTCATGACAGTAACCAATTATTTCTGGATTTCCTCCTTGATAAGCGTGGTACAATGTCTTTTTATCTATCTCAGCATTATTCTTCAATAAAAAGCAAAATATATTGACAGAGCCGCAGCTTGCTGCAAGCTCAATGAGATTAAATGTACCAAGTATTGGATCTTTGCGGTGACCAATAGAAATTTTAGAAGAATTCATCATTTCTTTGAATTTGTCTAAATCATCATCATATATCACTTTGTAAATTGGATTTGGACCTCTCTTGAGTTCTTTTTCGATATTCAATTTATCTTTGGAGCGATGAGGAGTAGATTTGTTGTATTCTATAGCAAATTCGTTGTAAATTGATGTTTTTGATTTCCTGTAACACTTCAAAGATCTGAGAAGATTAACGGAAATTTTAACTTTTTTGTGACATAAGACACAAATTGTATTTAGCGTATAAAGGATAAACTCGGGAGATACATTTTTGGTAAGTACAGATGTAAGTTTGTTAGCAACACTTATAATGTTTTCTTGATTCAAATTCCACAGCATATCTTCAGTCTGAACAATAGGCAATAGTTCCTCTGGTATGTTGATATCGAATAAGCTTTTGACTTTGAAACTATTGTCTGTAGATGACATGAAAAAAGGATATGAAAAGAAAAATAAATAAAAAAAAATTCATTACATATACTTTTGATATTTCCCCTCCATCTAAAGATGCCGCTTGGGGAACAATTAATCTTCTGTGCTATGGAAGTGTTCAAATGAGAGGAAATGCTGGACTATGAGCATGAAAAAAAAATTCCTTATGATTTTTATGGTACGGTACTCCTGATATTTTCCCTCCATCTAAGGATGCCAATTGGGGGTCCGACCAAATATTTTTTTACATAAATCTTCGAAACTTCTTTTTCTGGAATCATTCGAAATGATTCAAGAACAAACAAGCACAATCAGGGTGTATATTGTCAGAAGCAAACAACATGTCCCTGATCTAGCAAATTTTGTAGATAAGATCACTGGAATTTTATATGAAAATTTATATAACATAAAATATCTCATAAAAACATTTTCGGATTGAGTTTATCGATGTTTACGCAATTAAAACAAAGAAATTCAATCTTCTTGCGAAAACTCGTCAGAATTAAATCCTCACGATGATGAAAATCTGAAATATTTTACAAAACTCAAACAAATGCGTCACCATAAAGAAAATTGCTCAGTTGTAGTTCAAAATGGAAAAATATTTCATTTAAAGAGGAAAGATCTCTCGATTTTTCGATAAATTGAACAAATTATACGACTAATAACTTGGAATAAAAGAATAGTTCTTTGTCAGAAATCTACTCATGCTCACATACCGAAATCATTGGAAAAATTCATAATGAAATAGAAAAACAAACTACGCTTGAAACACAACTAGAAGTCATTACAGCAAAAGCAACAGATTTGAAAACTTATGCAAACAGACAAAAAAAAGTTGACTCAGCCATGCGTGGAGTAGGGGTAATTTTAGCTAAAAGTGACACACCCGTGAAGGGTGTGATTACCGATCGGTAATTTCGACAGTTTAGAATTTAAAATTTTTTATGGAACTGTTGCGAGTTTCATAAAGAATTTAAGGAATATAAGCAAAGATTTGAATCAAAATCTTAGACCTAAGCCGCTCGATTCGCTCGCGGCTTCCGCGAATTACAGATCAGCAAAGATTTGAATCAAAATCTTCGAACTAAGCCGATCGCTTCGCTCGCGGCTTTCTTTATTATTTTAAATTTGCATATTTCCATCAAAAGTTCATAAGGTAAAAAATTTCGTTTATTTTTACTAAGAAAAAAAGGTTTTTGATAATAAATTTATTTTATTTCGAAAAAGTAACAATAATCGTAAAAGGGTATTGATAGGCTTGCTAAAGTAACTAATTTTAGCTGTCAAATACTTTTGTATTTTGAAGTAAATTAGTATAAATTTGTTTTTACTTTTATTTCGAAAAAGTAACAATAATCGTAAAAGGGTATTGATAGGCTTGCTAAAGTAACTAATTTTAGCTGTCAAATACTTTTGTATTTTGAAGTAAATTAGTATAAATTTGTTTTTACTTTTATTTCGAAAAAGTAACAATAATCGTAAAAGGGTATTGATAGGCTTGCTAAAGTAACTAATTTTAGCTGTCAAATACTTTTGTATTTTGAAGTAAATTAGTATAAATTTGTTTTTACTTTTATTTCGAAAAAGTAACAATAATCGTAAAAGGGTATTGATAGGCTTGCTAAAGTAACTAATTTTAGCTGTCAAATACTTTTGTATTTTGAAGTAAATTAGTATAAATTTGTTTTTACTTTTATTTCGAAAAAGTAACAATAATCGTAAAAGGGTATTGATAGGCTTGCTAAAGTAACTAATTTTAGCTGTCAAATACTTTTGTATTTTGAAGTAAATTAGTATAAATTTGTTTTTACTTTTATTTCGAAAAAGTAACAATAATCGTAAAAGGGTATTGATAGGCTTGCTAAAGTAACTAATTTTAGCTGTCAAATACTTTTGTATTTTGAAGTAAATTAGTATAAATTTGTTTTTACTTTTATTTCGAAAAAGTAACAATAATCGTAAAAGGGTATTGATAGGCTTGCTAAAGTAACTAATTTTAGCTGTCAAATACTTTTGTATTTTGAAGTAAATTAGTATAAATTTGATATTATTTTAACTCCCTTTGAAAACCTCAATTTTCCATACAGAGGGAACGGGAATAGCATCCAATATTCCCTGAGAATGGTTGCGCATTCTCAGTTCCCTCTATATTTCAAACGAAGCTCTCATCGGTCTTTTTTTTAATACTAAACGTTTTTTTTTCCTGTCACTTTTAGCTAAAATTTGGGTTTGCCGCCATGCGTGTTGGTTGATACCTAAAATTCAAATCTAGATTTAAAAATATAAATCACAAATTGAATCTTGAAAACTAAGATAATAAACGCTTAAGGGGTGAATTTCTGAGGTTTACAATTTCAAACAAAAGTCTGTTTCCTTACTCATCTGTTATTGTTGAACTGGAATAATGAAATGGAATATAAAAACCTACATGAGATAATGCACATATATGATTTTGAAGTTCTATAGTAAAAAAATATAATTTGGAATAATCCTGAAATCCGTATTATAGGACTATTTTGCATTATTCTTTAATATAGTACTTATATAGATAAAGGAAACACAGTTCAAATGAAATATTATGTTAAATAAAATTATTCATTAAATTTCAATTTTTGAATTTCAAAATTAAGTAATGAAACATTACGCACTTTTCTGAGTTATAAACAACTGCACCATTCATTTAAATAGATATTGAGTATGATTTTTGTGTTTTTCCGGGAAAAATTTAAAAAAGTCGGGGGTTTTATTCTCAATTATCTCTTGATAGAAAGCTTAAAACAAAAATCCGTTATATCAAAAGATAGATATTTATCTATATTTTAATGCTATTATGCTATGAACATATAAATTATTAGTGCTACTATGTTATTAATTTTGTATCAATATTTTCATTTTTTGAATTATTGACAGAATATATTATGATAACAATATATATAAACAAATGCATAGTGGAAGCACAATGTGTATTTATCTGAATATAATGATTTAAAGCTTTATGGATTGAGTTTTATTTTTAACAAATTATTCACCTTTCCGTTAGATTGATGGATTAAAAATCCGTCACATCAAACTCTAAGTCTACTATTAAAACTCATATTTCATTAGGAATGAAAGTTCGAAAATGAAGCCTCATTGAGTTATTAATTTTTTAAATTTGAAAAAATATTTTTTTGTTCTCAATATATAATAAATTTATTAAATACCCTATTATGCCTTATGATGAAGCATGTTATAAAACTTTATATGCCGCCAGCAAAACAAGGAAATATTAAATATTAAGGGAGAAAAGATGAAATTATGGTGGAAATGTAAACTTCAGAATTTAACCCCTTAATAAAAAATTCACCATTTGGGACAATTGCGTTCCCCAAGACTTCCAAAATTATTTGGTCGGATCCCCAATTATACCCAAACCGTCATCCTTAATTTAATATTAATTTTTATCAATTTCAAGGGTCCACAGTTCATTTTCATTGCTCTTTCAAAAATTGAATGCTAAAATGAGAATTTTGTCTTCATATCGAATCGATTTTTTTAGAGCTTCTTGGTTATCGAAATCCAAAAATTCTATTAAAAACACCATATAAATATGATATCAAATCAGAATCTATAATTAAATTTGGGCCATGACATATAAATAGAGCGTAATCCTTCGCTTGGCCGGACTCTGGACCCTTAACAACGTAATCAACAATTTTGAGAGAAAAGAAATTTTGAATAAATGATATATTTAATTACTCATTTGTATATAGATATTTTATTCATTATTTATTTGAAATTTAATTATTGGGTGAAAATATTTTTTCGATAAATGTCAGAATCTTAAGTTAGTATCCATAATTTCGGTACCAAGGGTCTACGCCCCTCGGAACCAAAATTATTGGATTTGATAAAAACCGTTTGACACGTAAAATACATTTGACATTTACAAAAAATAAAAAAAATTAATTTTTTAAAAAATAAACTTAAAAATTAACGTTAAAATTTTTGACACTTTACAAAATAAAAAATATTTTTTAAAAAAATAAACTTAAAAATTAACGTTAAAATTTTTGACACTTCACAAAATAAAAAAAATAATTTTTCAAAAATAAACTTTAAAAAATTAACGTTAAAATTTTTTATTTATTTATTTTTTATCATAGATTTTAACACCCAGAGTAAAAAAATAATTTTTTAAAAATAAATTAACTCAAAAAATTTTTAATTTCTGTATATACTAAATTTTTCATAAATGATAAAATTAATTTTAGGGTATATCTAACCCGATATCTAACCTCATTTCTAACCTCGCGAATTTTCTTATAAAGTTGCGATAGTTGAATTCAGTAACTGAGCCTCAAGGAAGAAAACATCCTTTCCGTCTTCGGGTAACACAACGGGGCATTTATGATCATGTGTAGAATACATATCAATCCAAAACTCTCTATTATTTCCTGATAACTTATAATATTTAATATTTGTTAATGGTGATGATCTAGTATGTCCAATAAATTCATTTTCAACCCCTTTAGCGATATTTGAATATAAAATGACTTGTTTTCTGTCCCATACATTATATGTTATTATTGGTAATAATACTGTTCGTTCTTCTCCTGGTTTATAATTAAATACATTCATGAAGTCTTCATTATACTGAGAAATTTTAAAACCTATCCTAAAATCACTTTGTCTCTTTTCTGCTATTTCATTAAACGGTGAGTATATAACCAATGTGCATGTATGTGAATCATCTATTTGTTCAATAAATTCATAATGAAAGTCTATAATTTGTGGTTGAATTCCTTCTTCTTTTAATTTATCAAGATACACATTTAATCCTAAAGCGTTTTTGTTAAATTTCTTTTCGAAAATTTCGTTAAAATCACTCATGCATTCATATAATGTTGTATCATCTTTGAAATATTTATATATGTGAATAGTTTTCTTAAATTCTTGGGTTTCGTTTATAACAACAACTTCGAGCTCAACCTTTCTAAATCCTCGTGTTATAT